TTTTACAGATCCATTTGTAAATGTTTAACTGAACTACATAAAATAATGATACAACGATATAAATAATAATTATGAGTTATGCTGAGCGCTTTTTTTGTTACATGGACAACTTGTTTAAGTACAGATTAACCTATTATGTGACCTATTATTCTTTATAATTTAACTAAGTGTAATCTCTGCGGCTCCAAAAGTCCTTTTACTGCTAATACATTCAAACTAAACACTGGGTCGTGATCATCAGATGCAGGATAAGACGAGATAAGAAAGAAAGAAAACACACTTTCTCTTTCTCTTTCTTCTTTCTCTCTAAAGAAAAAATAACACCAAGCAGAAATGTTGTTGTTCCCAACTATCATTTGAAATGAAGTCGATAGAGAAACTTAACTAAACACTTGACTTAACCCAATAAAAAACTCAATAAAAACGCAATAGAACGCCGGGGATAAAAGGCACGAAGATGAAAGGACAGAGGATTGTCATACAAACACGTGACTACAACTGTCAGTAAAACACTCTGTAGTAAAGAGTTAAGAAGAGTTTTAAAAGTTTTCACTGAATCTTTGGAATTACCCAGGTATGACTTATCTTAATATCTTAATATGTCTAAAACGTATCAGACATAATTAGGTACTGATTAGCTGCTTAGAAAATATTGAAATACATTAGCACAGATTGATGCCTGTTGTAGCTCTGGAGCTTACATAACATAACCATTCTACACACACTGAGGCGCTAACCCTTATCTTGGTTAATGTATTTCACAAGCAAGATATCCTGAAGCAACACTTTCCCCATTTGGCATTGTGTGTCCATGTCTGTGCTCCACATCAGGCCCATATGTGCCACACATGAGCCTGAAACTGCACGAGCTGGCACAGTTAATCATTAAGAGGGCGTACATTTGTTTAAGGACAGGACGGTGCTGTGCAGTCTACACTTTCACAAACAATCGACAAACCTATTTATTAATGAGTCAATGGCCAGAAGAAATAAGTGGCGCTTCTCAGTTCACTCGTAGTTAACGTTTAAATCAAACTAAAGGAGATAAATATGAGTCCACACATAATAAATATAATCTCACTCGTGCGTGGACAGATCACACACAAACACATCCAGAGCTGTAGTCGCACCGACTGGAAACGAGGGTCAGGTGCAGCAGACGGTTCTTTTCCCAGAGTTGATGATTTACCCTGTTTTCAAAGCTTTTGCCTCACAGCACATCCCATAATTATTTAGTGAACATCTACTTTAAGTTAATGGGTTATTGTTTTTGCTCCATTTCAAACAGAAGTTTTCTGTTTTTACTTTGAATATTTTGTCAAAGGGTGTCTCAGAGACCACATAGGAGTAGACCTTTGGGTGGTCTTGTAAAAAAACAGAATACTTTCTCTATGTCACAAAGGGTGGGATCTGACATGGTTCCATTGGGGGTGTTTGGCCTTACTGCACCTCTCTCTCTCGCTCTTCTCTTAAAAGATGATGCGCTCTAGTAAAATAACATCACAGGGGGGAAAAAATAAACACTTTTTAAAAAGTTTTTTTTACATTTAGAAAATGACAAATTAGATTCAAATTATTTGAATTTGGATGCACTTGAAATAAAACAAAAACTCTAAAGACAACTTTTAGAGGTTTGGAAAGTAAATAGCAGAAATTCTAGCTTTAGAGTCTTTTCTTTTTAGTTCTATCACTAACCAAAGTCAAAAGACCAGAAACTGGGGAACAGGGAGGTGCTGGGAGAGGGGCTGTAGAACAGAGAGGAGGGAGGGGGGGTGGAGGGAGGGAGGGTGAGGGAACAGAGGGAGGGAAGCAAGAGACCAGTCTTTTGGATTTCTCATCAATTCAATGTGGCCCTCTCTTTCAGGTTTTACAATGCCCGCCCCCAAACCATTATCAAACCAGCGCGTATATATGCAGCTGGCTGCTGTAGTTCAGCTGAGACCAACTACACAGGACAGCTCCAACCCAGAGCTTGACTGCCCCCCTGCCAACATGAAAGAGTTCAAGAGCAAAGAATTCTGGAGGGCTGTTCTGGCCGAACTGGTCGGCATGACCCTCTTCATTTTCCTCAGTCTGGCATCGGCCATCGGAAACACAAACAACAGCAACCCTGACCAGGAGGTCAAGGTGTCACTGGCCTTCGGACTGGCCATCGCCACACTGGCCCAGAGTTTAGGCCACATCAGTGGAGCCCACCTGAATCCTGCAGTCACCCTGGGGATGCTCGCAAGCTGTCAAATCAGCGTCTTCAAGGCCGTCATGTACATGATTGCCCAAATGCTGGGTTCAGCCCTGGCCAGTGGCATTATGTACGGAGCACGTCCCAGTACCACAGACGCACTGGGACTGAACGCTGTGAGTAGGACTTCTCATTATGTTGTTGTTGACAGAATGTGTGATAATATGTGATGTTTGATCAAAGGCTGGGAACGGTGCTATTTCAAAATGCCAACAAACCCGATGCACATGATTCACACTTATCTGAGGGAACTTTGAAAACTGAGACTTTTATCACTGAGTTTGCACACAATCCCAAAAATGACGTTCTGTCATTGCTGGTAATACTAAGGTGATGACACATGATTTTGACACGCTGATCTGCAAGAATTAGACCCATGTTCCAGCAAAACATCATCAGCATTTCTGCTTATGATGAAGCCATTGTGATGCTGTGGTTTTCTTTAAAAAAAAAACTGTTTTCAGAGAGTGAAGCCGAGCCTGTAAGATCCTCTCACTCCCATCTCCTATCTTAACACTCTTAACACAGCAGTGTTGCACACAATAACAATGACCACGTTCTCCAGAGGCTGAAAATAAAATGTGTGTGTGTGTGTGTGTTTCCCTGCTAAATGACTTTCAAACCTCCAGGTCAGTGACAGCGGCTGCTCGGGTGAAGTGCGGTTATGATGGGATGTGTGACACAGACTGACACACTCTTGTTGACTCCTCCTTTACAGCTCAACGGTGTTACTCCCAGCCAAGGCGTGGGCATAGAGCTGCTGGCTACGTTCCAGCTCGTGCTGTGTGTCATTGCAGTTACTGATAAAAGACGGCGTGATGTCACTGGCTCTGCACCCCTAGCCATTGGCCTCTCGGTCACTCTGGGACACTTGGCAGCTGTAAGTTTCACCATTAAAAATAAATTCATCAATGCAATCAAAGCCTTAGCAGAGCAGAGATAAGATCTTTGTCACTGTTTCAGTCATTATTGTTGTTGGTGTGACACCATGCTGTGGTTGGTTACAGATCAGCTACACAGGCTGTGGCATCAATCCTGCTCGATCCTTTGGCCCAGCTTTGATCCTGAACAATTTTGAAAACCACTGGGTAAGTCAGACGGACACTTTGTGACTGTTTCAGGTTTTCTGTACGTATAATCAAGGTTCAAGACTGACTTTTTTTTTAATTTAATTTAATTTAAAGACTAATCGCCTTCTTTTCATTCCAGGTTTACTGGGTTGGCCCAATGTGTGGTGGTGTAGCAGCAGCTCTCATCTACGACTTCATGCTTTCTCCCAAATTTGAGGATTTCCCTGATCGTATGAAAGTACTGGTCAGCGGTCCAGCGGGTGACTATGACGTTAACGGCGGCAACGACGTCGGAAATGTGGAGATGGGAACAAAATAGCGATGAGCGGTTGCTTTATACGTGCCTTCACTCCTGTTTATAGGCTGTCATCTTTAGTGGTTAGGATCCGACTGGGGTTTTTGTGCTTTATTTTTTTATAGTACTATGGTCAACGCTCCACCAGTGTCTCGTTACACTTCTGTTTGAGTGCACACGCAATTGTTTTACACTAAAACATGAAAGCTGAGGTTTCTTCTTTTTTTATAAATTAGACAAAAATATCCTCCAACATTCTACTTTGCAATTTATGAAAAACAGACCTCTGTGTAAAGGTGAAAAAATAGTGGGATGGTTAGGTGTCGAACTTATTTCAGTATCAGTATTCCTATGTGGAGCCATTTTTTGTATACAAATTTCTATATGTTTGTATCAAGTTTTTGCGTATGATGAATTATGTATTGTATGAACACTTTTCAATGGTCTCTCACTTTTTTATATAAATAAAACACATATTATTAATAGGTCCTTCTGTGCTTTATTGTTGTTATTATATTACATGTACATATAAATATGAAGAATGTCTTGTCTTCCAGTAGACTACTATACATTCACACAAAAAAAGGAAAAAGCTACACAAAAGCATAACAAAACAACCTGGATCAAACACGTTTCCCAAAGTTTACTTTGAGTATTATAAAAGACTTTAATCATTTAACTTAAGCCTAGAACTTCAAGGTATTATTCATAGCAAAGTGATGCAGGTCACATGGAGGTAGGATGGTTAACAAGCTCACTCTACAGCAACACTCGTTTGAGCCATGACACTAACTCTTAACATCTTTTCTCTGGATTCTCCAGTTTCCTCCAACTGCTTCTTTTTAGCTGACAGCCTTTAAAAATCCTTGTTGCTTGCATAGAAAGAAATGTCACATGACTGACAGAAAGTGGATAATACCACACAATGGTAGTGAGTCGACGTTGGTGCAAAATCCTTGTAATTTACTAGGAATTATAATTACTGAATCCCTTCTGACATGTATTTATCTTTCTAAGATCTTTAGAACTGAGGTATGAACCTTCGATAATCCACCCTGACATAATCCAGTAAAAACAAGTTTACAGAGTTGTCCAGCATGTTGAGATCCAAATCGTCATCTTGGCCTGTACTGGCCAAGATGTTTTATCTCTTGTCTCCAGGCCAGAACAAATAATAAGCAGAACTGTAATCATTAAACTGCTTTGCATGGTGCATGCTGGTTTAAGGGACCCATGTGGAACAAATGATTATGTATTAACAAGAGGGGGAAAAAAAAACACAGCACAGGAAACCGAAAAGGAGAGGTGACGGATACACTGAGAAAGAAAAACAGAAATGTACTAAACGAAACATATGGAAATTTGAATCTGAAAATTTAGGTCTAAAGGGGAGTTTGCACAGAATGATGTTAGATCGGAGCCTGACTGATATGTTGGCCAATAAAGACATTCAGATGAGATTGAACATGTAAACATTGTAGATTGAATTAAACCCCCAGGAGTGTGGCTCCTAGTAAAAAACTACATAAGAAATACGAATGTTTAACATTTTCCAAAAGTGCTGAGAGTACATGTAATCCCAGTATAAATCTGCGAAAAGTAAACTCCAAGGTAGCCTGTCACATGTTCATCAACAAGGTTAATCTCAGGCTTTTGTGAGATGTTCTCTGGCTCAGGATGTCCAACACTTTCCTTGACTTCCTGTACTTGGTGTCTCATCAGTAAATTTGGATAAAAACCTGCATGGGTTCTGGACTTCCTGAGCAATGGACCACAGGGGTGCAGATCGACAACAACACCAGGTCTATCCTGACGCCCAGGACCTCCCAGGAGTGTGTGTTCAGACTCCTCCACATACCAGTACAACGCTGTTGCCCTCACTGGTCTGACATCACTGGCCTAATGTGGCCCGGCTGCTATTGGATGATGGAACTGTCAATCAAAAGTAGTGTTCACCATCTTTTTACGTGCTTCAGGGTCCTGGGAGTGTACAGGTCATGCTTAACATGACAACCAGAACAGTAATGAATTAGTAATTAGCAGTAGCAGTGTTTTGGAGAACTTTACATGCCTGGTCACTCACATCTGTTCCAGCTCCTACCAAAGCTGCAACAACATCATCATCCAGTTGCATCACCAGGTCAGAGCTCCCAGACATGGAGGTCCTCCACAGTCAGCACAACAGGCAAAAAGACAGAGGGGCCGTCTGCTGACCCCAGCTGCAGCTCCAGTCCCGAAGCATGAACAGAATCAAAATACAAAGCAAAAACAGACAGTTTGTTTCCCCAAAGCCATCAGGCGTCTGAGTGACTTGACAGCCACCCCTCGTTATCACAGCTCCACACAGATAGAACACACTCCTGAACAGTCGCCAGTCCACTGGGCTCCACACTGATCTAGTGAAGCAATGTTTGCTTATGTCACTGCTAAATATTCAGCATTTCCAGGAATCAGCAGGTGTGTTTCTTTGCACTCGTACTCAAGGCTTGTTTTCAAGGCAGCAGCGGTTTTCCAAGAATACTAGTTTTTTCAATGATTAGCTTCAGCTCTTCCTCCTGTCTTTTCTTGTTTAAATATTATATAAAACATTTAGATTAGATTTTTAGATTTTATGTTTTAATAGTCTTACATAAATGTCTCATAATGCTCTTTCTAATATACATAGATGGGGTTTTTTTCTTCTTTTTTTGATAAATCTGATTTCCTTTTTACTTCCATACCGTTCTTTACAACAAGAGATGATGTCATTGTGGGTGGGGACAGTCGACAAACTTCTAAGAAAAATGTGATTAGAATTATAAAGTTAACAGCTGTATTTAAGGAAACCAAAGCTTCTACCCGCTTCATTTCGACCGTCAAGCAGGAGACTACTGCAGATAAATGGCTTGTGGAGAGCTGACAGATTCCCATCAGACTCAAAGGCATCTGTTTTCAGTCATCAGCCTTCAGGCCGACTGTAAGTAATGAAATGGTGGCTGTTATTCTTTTTTATCTGCTCTCTTTGTTGGAATTATGTTTTGGCTGCTTTTTTTTTGCTTCTGAAAGGAAGAAGAAACCTTTGAAGTCGTGAGTTACCCTTATACTCTGCTTAACACCCCAGTGCACATATTGATTATATACTTGACTAGCTTCCACTTCTGCATGATTAAATGCTCAGTGTTGAGTCTGTAATTCCGAGTTGTGTTAAAGACCTGCTCTCTGGGCCGACACCTGCATCCTGGACGTCACTGATAGTTCAGAAGGTTAATATACGTAGTTGTTAATCCGTGACTGCGTCTTTAAATAATCATTTTTAAATTATAATTATAACACGCCTTACCTGGTTTTATGACCATGTCATATCATTTAAAATATTTTTTAAAATATATATTTAATTTATTTTATATACATATTTTAATAAAAGCTTAATTAGTTGCCTATTCTTGTCTATTTAAAAAAAAAGAAATCAATGAGATCATAGCCTGCCATAGCAGGGCTGTGGTTAGCACCAAAACAGCAACTCCCCTGCTGCCTGGGCAGAGTGGCTTCTATCTCTAGGGTTTCATCTCTGGTTTCATGGATGCATTGAATACAGTGATTAATATTCCCTACATAAAATTTAATAAACAAAATAAATGGAAATAAGAACTGTTTATGTCACTAGATCCGCAGCGCTGACTGGAAGTACTGGTCAACGGACTGCAGTGGTCATTCGTTTGGTGTTTGGTATTTGCCATGGAAAATTAGATGTTTTTAAAACAGAAGAAATGTTGGGTGAGAGTTTGAGAGTTTGTTGACGTGGAGTTGGCAGCTGCGCACAAAAACTCCAACCTTTGTCCTTGCTGGCTGTTTTCTACATCATCACTGCACCTCCTCCACCTCCTCCTCCTCCATCCTGCTCCTCTGACATAATGAATCCTACTGTACAGTATCTTCTCAGTTATATGCTCCCATCCCTAAATTGTAAATCTCATCATAATCCAAGGCTGTATACATATATATGACTATATGATATGCACAAATACCTGAGCTGCAGTTTGACAGAAATGTAAAACAAATAATAGAAAATCTGAGCTTTTAAGAAAATACTGCCGTCTAAGTCACAGACTGACCATCACAAATGTCTTTCTGTTTCTACTGAACCTAATACTTTTTCACATACAAAGGAAGAAAAGAGGTCAATTTCCCTGCTTTGATTTATAAAGTCTCACACAGTTGTGTGTGACTGATGTCAGCTTCTCTGCCTCCAGCCCTGTTTCACATTCACAGGATAGAAAATGTAGATGGGCAGATAGAAAAGCCATTTTCAAAGACTTAAGCAAAAGGCTCCCGGACCACAGTGCCTTTCTCATCCCGTATCCTGAAATTACTTCAAAAATATAAAGTGTCCCCAGTGCCAGTGCCTGCTCAGTGCTCCTCTATGATTGTGCCCATCGCCAGCAAAATCCTCATTCACAGTATATATATATATATA